AAGCGCAGCCGGTGACGACGCCGCCGCTGCCGCCGAAGGGTGCCGTGTGCATGCATGTCAACGTCACCAAGGTCGACCAGCGCACCTTCGCCGCCGACCTTCGCGACGCCGGCTACACCGTCGGCCTCTTTGGTAAGTACCTCAACTCTGTACCATATGACGACTTCTCCCAGCCGCCCGATGGCTTCGACGCGTGGATGGCCAACGGCGGGGGGGAGTACATAGCGCCGCAGTTCGGCGCGCGCGGCCTCGCTTTCGCCGGCATCCCGGACGGCAACGTCTCCTTCAACGTCACCGACTACACGACCGCCGTCGTGGGCAATGTCTCCAGCGCGTGGATAGAGCACGTGACGGCGACGAGGCCGCGCGCGCCTTTCTTCGCGTACATCGCGCCCAAGGCGGCGCACGAGCCGTTCATCCCAGCACCATGGTACCTCGACCACTGGGAGCCCTCGTGGCCCGTCCACGAGCCGCGACCGCCTGCGTACAACTCCTCTGCCGCCGCGCGCGCCGACAAGCACGGCAACATCGCCACGCAGCCTCTCCTCTCGGAGGAGGCGGCACGCGTGATCACCGGCGTGTACAAGAACCGCTGGCGCACGCTGCTCTCGGTGGATGATGTGATCGGCGACGTCCTTGCCAAGTGCGACGCCCTCGGCCTCCTCGAGCGCACCTACGTCTTCTACACGAGTGACCACGGCTTCCAGCTCGGAGAGGACAACATGCTGATGGACAAGCGGCACGTGTACGACTGGGACACGCGCGTGCACCTGCTCGTGCGTGGGCCCGGGCTCGTGCCTGGCGCACAGATGGCGCAGCCGGCGACGACCGTCGACCTTGCCGCCACGTGGCTCGGTCTCGCCGGCGTGACGAAGGCTGCGCGGTACGATGGCCGCTCGATCTTACCGCTGCTGCTCGCCGCCGGCCGCTCGATCCCACCTCTCGATCCTATGTCGGCCGCTCGATCCCACCGCTCGATCCCACCGCCGCTGCTCGCCGCCGGCCGCGCACTCAACGCATCGGGCGCGGCGGCGGCGCCGACAGCAGGTTCTCCAGACGACGCGGCCATACGCCGGACGCTCGCGCCCGCCGTGGTGCGCCACCTCGATGCGCTCGGCCCTGTGTCGGCCTACGCGGCTGGCTGGCGACGCGAGGTCTTCATCGAGTACTACTACGTAGCGGACAACGACAAGTGCATCGACAACTGCACGACGCCGGGCGAGTACCCGCAGAAAGACGCGGCCTGCGTCGACCTGAGGCACAATGCAGGCTGCTGGGGGCCGCCACAGTGCAATGCACAGTGCTACCCGACAGAGTCGACCGCCAACAATTTCATCGCGCTGCGCACGATGGCCGATGCGCCGGGCGCGGGCGAGGCCGACGTGCTGTACGCCGAGTTTGCAACGGGCGAGCAGTCGACGGCGGACATCGACTTCGCGCGGCCCGACTTCTACGAGATGTACGACGCGGCGAGTGACCCGTGGATGACCGCCAACGTCGTCAAGCGCACGCCCACGGCGGTTCGCCACGCACTCCACGAACGGCTGCACAAGTGGTTTGCGTGTGCGGGCGAGAAGTGCCCTTGAGGGGCGTGCGCGGGAGTGGGATGGCACGTGGGGGCGGCGAAGACCCAGTTCCCCTGTGCATGAGTCGCACAAGCGAACCACGGCGGGTGCTCCAACACGCGGGCAGGCCGCGCGTGGACTGACGGGCGGACGCAACTCGCTCGAGTGGAACGCTGGCCAAAGCACGATGAAGAGGCACCAGTGCATCCACACCCCTACGGTCTATCGCGGTCCCGTCGTGGCCCACGACTTACAAGTGACAATATGCGCCAGATTGGTGATTGCAGCGCTGGCTGCGGAGCACGACGCACAGCACGCGCGACGAAGTGCTTTGCTGCAGCATGGTGCTGTCTATCTTCCAAGCGTTGTGCTGTCTGTCTTGCTCGCACCCGCGGCAGTACGGCATAGATGTACTATGGGATCTGATACGGTAGTCGGTGCCCAGACGCAGTAAATACGGGTTGTGCGGGGATACGGGGTACAAGCATGTGCACGCCACCCTGGCTTAGCATACATGCTACTTTAGTCCCGGCAGGTGCATGCAGCGATGGGATGGGGCGCGAAAACCGAAATCATTCAGTCTATGATTGAATCATTCAGGAGTTTTCGGAGTTAAAACTTGGAACTGCCCACAGGTAGAGCATCTTAACGTTAACTTTTTGAGTCCCAACGTTAATAACTGTTTTCTGAAATCTCTCAATAACGTTGTTTATTGTTCATCGCAGCCTTTTGTTGTACGACCTTTACTGCTTTATGTTGTTACTTTAACAGTGTACAGCCGTATGACTCAGTGTTTTTTGCAGTGAATTTTGCCCAAAATGGAAGTTTTTTTTGGGCGAAACTCGCCGGCGCCGCCAGTGGCGGCGCAAAAGCGAAGGAAGCAGGCGGTTTAGTCTCGCTATTGTTGGCCAACACTATGGTTCATCATACGTCTTCTGCCTACAACAATGTCTGAAAACTGAATCAGGGCTCAGGTGCGGGGCTTTCACTAGTGTTTTTGCAGGATTCTATACCAAAATTAGCGCATTTGAAGGTTCTGAGATGACCTCTGGGAGGCTTGTTGTTCTAAAGTGTTTGTTCAAAGATCCTATTTTAACGTTAAGATGCTCTACCCACAGGGGTGCTGGATTGCAGTTCGGCAGCAGAGCCACCTCGCGCGCCCTGTGGGAGCAAGAGACGGGCTGCCAGGGCCAATGCGCGCCCGGCTCACGGGAAATCGTCCGCTGCTGCTGGCGCCCATGCTGAGGAAGAGGGCTTCCATGCTTGCCGGGGAGCCGGGGGCGTCCAGGTTTCCGTTCCTGTACCAGTAGCGACGAGCGTCCGGTCAGAGAGAAAGAGAGAGAGAGAGAGAGAGCGGATCCTTCGTGCCTCAACGGATCTGCGGCCAACGCCTCGACCATGCCCGGTCTTGAGCTTGCGTCCCATTCTCTCTCTCTCTCTCTCTCTCTCTCTCTCTCTCTCTCTCTCTAGACTCTACGAGCGACAGGTCCGGAAAGAGCTCCGGAGGCGGAGCGTCTTGAAGCTGCTTGAGCGTCTTGCTTGCTATCGAGCAGACTCCAGCGGACTGTATTCCGGAGGTGAGGTGCAGCGCTTATGCATTCTGCACGAGCTTTTGGCAGTAGCCACTCGAGGGCCATCTCGAGGACCGACTCCTAAGAGAGCGCCGTCGTGCGACGACCACCACGTTGGAGGCGTGGGCGGCGGCGGATGCGCGAGGCCGGAGATGCCCCCCCCCTCCCCCCCCCCCCCCCCCGGGGGGCGGACTTTGACAGAATCCATGAGTTTCGCGTGCCGACCAGTTTCTTATGCTCTTTTGTATTCTGCTCGTATGAAGGAGATCAGCACATGCCTGCGGTGCCGCATAGGAGAGCCACGCGTAGTCCTGAGCATACATCGAGCAGAGCAAGAGCTGCAGCCCGCTCTCCCCTTTGATGAGCTCGAGCATCTCCTCTTCCATCGGAAAGCCGCCACCGATGTGTTTCGATGAATGTTTCGGGGTTACTTGCTTGAGGCACTGCGCCACGTGCGCTTGCGGGAGGTGCGCTGCACCAATGAGTCGCAGGAGGGGCGAGCGAAGAAGATCTTCAGCTGAATGTCCGATCGTCTCGAGCGTCAATAATGTGAAGCTGCTCGCGTTGTTCCAAAGCTGGCCCTGTTGCAATAGCGCCATCTGCGTCATGGCAGACGGTGAACGAGCTAGCGTGCGGGGACAGCGGCATTTTGCACGGTGCTAAGTGCATTGCCGCTCTTAACGGAGTCGCTTAGGCGGCTCCGGTGGTGTGCCGGTGATAGTACTAGCACGCGCCAGTTCGCACCTGTGTCGAGCCTGTCTGCTGTGAGAGAGAGTTTGGTCCTTGGGGCACTCTTAAA